TGATTTATTGCTGCCGTGGTCAGGTTCAGCTGTCAGATCTTCCAGAGAGAAGTTCATCACCCTCTTTTGAGGGCAGTGGAAGTGTATGCAAAAGCTGATGGAGAAGCTGCTGACAACAGCTCCTTCACACGTTTTGCTGTGTGCCCTGAGCGTGTGATAGAAATGGGCCTTGTACTCCCTCCACAAGCTAGAGCATAAGTCACCCTCTGCCAGATGATTTCCTGTTGCACTCTACCAGTGCAGATCCTTGTCCTGGAATTGGTAATCCCAGTCCAAAGAATCATCTAAATATTTATCCCACCGTATTGTGGCAGTGCAGTGCATGGGTTTGGGGGTTAAGTGACTGCAAGTCTTGAGTGTTGTTGTGTTTGTTTGTTTGTTTTCTTCCAGTAGCCACCACTGAGAATTAACTGAAACCTAAGCAGAATGCCAAATCCATTTGAGCCCTAGTTTTGCTTGAACCCACTGAAAACTGTGGGGCTGTCTTAAAGGATTTTAAAGCCTCACTGTTACCTTAATGCTGATGAAATACGGCTAAATGTTACTTTGACCTCTGCGTCTCAGTAAGAGAATGCTTGAAAGCTGTTTCTTATGTTCTTTTCTGTATGTAACTGAGAAATTGCAGCACATACTAGGAAGATCATGCTGGTTTTGGCTGTCTTGATGATATTCTATTACTCAAAAGGCAAGCAGCATGTCAAATAGACAAGTCCCCAACTATACATTTTTTTTCTTCTCCTTCAGGTGGTTGAAGGGTGCGTCTTACCTGGTGCTAAGGTGACAGTTTGGGTTCCAAGTTGCAAATGACTTTGAAATACTGTATTTTTCTGAATTGCTTCCTTCAATTTAGGAAGCTCTTAGCCTATCGTATAGACATCTCTTTTTCCACTTGACTCATCTCCCAAGCTTTGTGTGAACAGTGAATTTCCCTGTGTTCCCTCTTCCCATGCAACAGGAACAATGTTTGTCTGTGATACTGGTTCTTGCTTTGAAATGGGAGTGAACTTGATAACTTTTTAAGTGACATTCCAATGTATTCAAACAAAATTATCACTTGATTATTCTCAAAATCCCAAGCTGAATACTTATACTTCATTTTATGCACTGGGGAGGGAATTCTTTTCATCTTGTTGACAACAACTGTATTAACTTTCTCCTTAACCAGATTTCTTCCTACTACTCACTGTCAAACAAATGTTTTGATTAATTCTTAATATTATTCTAGCTGGAGAAAATGCTTGTACTTGCATGTATTTGCTAAGCTCCATTTCTGTGAGTTGTCTGTTGGTTTCATGGGGATCGTTAACAGTTGTAAAGCTAAGTACTTTTGCAGGACTAAGGCCTAATGAGTCGAATGTCTCTCGGCTTCTATTCTCTGCTCTATTGGGAATAAGCTCTGAGCATATTTTATTCCCAGATCTCAATTTGGGTCACAAGAAGTCAGTTATGTAAGTCCTGCAAGTTAACTTTCCAGTCAATTATTTTGTTGTAGGTGTTATGCCTTGCCTTTCGGCTAAGTCCCCATCATTCCAACGTTGCTGTAAAGAGAATTAACACTTCTTTCAAAGCTGTTCTGACTGTAATTTTCAAATTTGCTGTGACTTATGACTCCTTTCCTGTTTCTCTAATTACTCTCTCTTTTTATGGCTGCCGCCTTGGATTTCAAGTTTGGATGTCCAGTTTGTCTGAGACACCAAAAAAGAGTGTCGCAGGTAAATTGCTGTTTCTTTTTCTGCATGCTCTTAGAAAGTCTGCAGTGGAAACTGTTTTTCTGAGGATTTTCTTTAATGTAAGTCTGACTCTAGATATCTAAGACCTGTAGTCTACTTACATAATAGCCTTTTGTGTTGTGTGTTTTGACATGGAAGAACTCCGCTTGTCTGATGCCTGCTTCACCTCGATGTTACCAGCAATAGATGGGCATCTGCTGTGTTATTTCTTCCATGGCCAATGGCAGAGTTAGAACCAAAAGCAGCTCCTTCCCTGAAGGAGATGAACTTGGTGACGTGTGCCTTGGTCTTCCGAACTGCTGCTCTACTGCTCTTCTGTCGTAGGCCAAAGACACAGAAAGGCTGTCCAGTGGAAAACAGTCTGAGGCAGCTGAAAAGCTTTTGTGGAAGCTTTGGGCTCCTTGTCTCAAGGAGGTGTGCAAGAAGATGGTGCAGGAAAGCTACTTCTAGGTGAGGTCAGGGTCTGGGGAAAAAATAGCCTAATCAAAGGCAAAAGCTAAACTTTATATAATGGGGAACTTTAGATCTTCTCCTGGTCATGTAGCAGAACCAGAGAAATCCAGTCCATTTCTCTGCAAACCTTTGTTATCTTGTATGATATACTAGGGAAGAAGCCTTTTCCCCTCAAAGTTAGAAAAGGATTAAGAGCTGTAGGCATTTTCTGACATGTTCTGTGTGACTTTCATCCTTAAAGAAAAAAATAGCTTAGTTCATGATCTTGTGGAGAAATGTGCATGTTGTGTGCCTATAGCTATGATACCACTGTAGTAATTTTGTATTTTTAAATGGTTCCCTCTTCTAAAATAGTATTTATTCTTCATAACAATTTCTTCATAACAATTGTTTAATTAAACTTTCTCATGGCTATGGGTAACTTGCCCCTCCATCTCTTCCGTGTATTTGAAGTGACATTTGTTCTGTATTGGTGAAAGATGTGTGGCCTCAACCATCTGGGTGGTCAGGCCAGCAGAGGTTGCAAGGCAGTTGAGCATGGAAACACTCCTGCTGTCTTCTGCAAGTGATTCAACAGATATCTGAGCTTATGCCCTGCTGTAAGTGTGCAAACAAACTCCCACCTTGGGTGGATGAATGCTGGTGGTTTTCAGAGAGTAGTACTACTGTCACTCAAAGAATGCTGTCTTTTGAAAAGTTGAATATGGGGCCAGGGGGTTTTCTCTCTTCAATGTGAGCCTGTTAAGTGTGACTTCAAGGTGGCAGTTGGACATGATAATGCCAACATACCTGGAGTGTTCAATCACAGGAGTGTCTTGGTTAACAGATCAGAGGGCCCTGAGGGTAACGGTAAGAGTGAGCAGGAGGGAAAGCATATTGCCATCTGTAAAATGGCAAGTTAAATGTTAAGACTTTGAAGCTTTCTAAAGGGAAAGGAGGTTAAAAACCTGACTGATATAAATTATTTCCCTTCTGTAACTGGTTTTAGTTAAATGTGTATTACTAGCTTGTCTTCAAAAAAAACCTTGTGCATTATAGGGCAAATGGAGGTGCCTTTTTCTTTTTATTTTATAGCACCATGCAGTGCAATTAAGGAGAGTGTTGATAGCATCCTATACAGAAGTCTTGTGGTGCATCTGTCCAGGTCTTCAGCTCCCCATGCTGTTCCAGTTTACGTTGCCTTGTTCAGAGTAATCCCTCTGTTTTCAACCCAGCTGTGCTTCAGTCGTGTTGTGTCCTGTAGTGCAGTGTGACAGGCCAATGGAGCAGGCTGTCTGGATTTGAATGTGATTCTTACCCTTACAGTATGCATCTGCAGCCTAGGTTGGGGGTCAGGAGACTAGAACAGAACAAAGTTTGGTGCTGCCCAAGCTCCAGCCTTGGGATTGAAGCTACTGCATGAAGTAAAGGGGTCTAGGTGAGGTGTGGAAGGTGCTGTCTGTATTTCAGGTCCATAGTTTGAAAATAGGTGGTTGCCATCTGGCTTGATCCCAAGAGGTGCTGTGATTGTGGTGGGAACCCAGTAGGTATCTCTGCAGCATTACCAGAAGAGACCTTTATGACTAAGTAACCTGCCTCTCCATCCCATACGAACGGCCCGGATGCTGGTAGGGTAGTTGGGGGCACCCCAACTATGGTTAAATTCCTTGACCAGCCACCTTTGTGCTATGTGAAGTAATGTGGGGGTGTTGTAGCCCAAAGGACTAGGGTAAATGCCAAAATATATAGGTGACTTCAGCTTGAAGAACACTGTCTAGCAGCTGTGTGAAAATCTCCAAGTGGTTTAGCAGATTTGTGTGCAAAATACTTAAGTTTTTTCTTAACTGTTGCTACCTGTAACCTAGTTGGTTGGAACTGCTGTTTAAAGAGCCAACTTTCCAAGAAGGAGTGGAAAGAGAACTCAAATTCTTTTTTTCCTCTTTCACCTTCCTGCTTCTAATTTTTCTTGGCTCTGTCTTAAAACCTAGCAGATCAAAAATAAAATAAAATAAAAAAAAACGCTGGGACTAACAAGCTCCACTTGGCAAAAGTCAATAGTAAATTTCTCTGTTTGTTAAGATTTTTGTTGGAAAACTTACTGAAGACTGTAAAGAAGGAAGAAACTGAAATGGAGCACTTGCCTGGGAGAGCTCTGGCCATTTACCATGGGCCAAGCTCATTCCTGACCCATTCCTAGTGGGAGCTGCTGGTTCTAGCTGTGTGTCCAGCACGTACTTGCACTGCTGGAAGCTGTGGTCTACCTTAAGGCTGCCACTTATCTCCAGCTCCTGAAGGCTTATCCAGCTCTTGGGTCTTACAAATGCTAGAAATGACTGTGCACCCCTTATGCTTGGGAATCCGTCCAAGGGCTGAGCTAACTCGTGCAGCCGCAGTGGCAGGCTGTGTTCCCTTCCTGCCAACGATGCACGCGGCACTTGGCTCCGTCCCCTTGGAGCTGCCTCCAAGGGGGCCAGGAGGGAGTTAATGCAGCTCACGGAGTTTCTGACTTTACCAGATTCCGGCATGTGGAGCCAGCAGGATCATGAGAAAGGATGGAGTTTGAACTGCTCTGCAAGGAAGCTGCTGCCCCATCTGCTGAAATGCTTGCAGGACACGAGTGCTTTGGAGTTGAGGAGGGTGTGTGCATGGGTGCCTGGGGGATTAGTTTCATGTAGTAATGGCTTATTAAAAAAAAAAAAAACTCACTTTCTCAGAAACTTCTTGTATATTAGTTATTACTGCTAGGCTGAGATGAGCCTGTTTGTGTGCTGACCTATTCACCACTGGGTGAACAGCACTTAACTTTGTCTGAAAAGTAACACAATCTGAGACAGTGGATTAGAAACCTTATCTAAAAAAAATTTCTGACTTGGGCTCTTCTGAATTACTTGAATGGACCAATCCAAACCTTTCCCTTTCTACTTTTCATCCCTGCCTAATAGAACTTTACCTGCTTCTGAAACTGTTCTCTGAAAAAGTAAAAGAATTGCCTTATCGTTATTAGAGGTACTATTTGGCCAACTTCACTAAAATAATAATGTACTAATAACCCATTTGATAGAGGTAGAGGAAGCTAAGTATTTGGAGGAGGTTCTAACAAAATAGCTTTTTTGCCAGTGCTGTTATATTACTATGACCTTGAAACTGAATTGAAGTTGTATTGTCAGAGCTAAAATTCTGGCTCTGCCCTTAAAGCTTTGTGATTGAAGACTGTTGCACCAAGAAGTGCTGATTTCTGGGGTCAAATACTTAAAATTGGTGGCTGTTCCTCTCATACAACATGTGTATGTTGAGGTTTACATATGTAAAGGTCTCCTGCACTGCACAACACTACAGAGATCTACCTGAGAGAAAGTTGAGCTGGCTCCTACTTGCCTATTGCTACAACCCATGAGTGGCCTATTGCATGCAGGAATAACTGATGTAAAACTATGGTCTGAAACTTGAGAAGTGGGAGGAAGGCTGAGCAGTGACACTACAGAGAGGAGGAGTATCCAGGAGAGCAGTCAAAGGCTTGATTACTTGTTTGGAGCACAAAAAGAAAACTGAGTAGGAGACAAGAAATCCTGGAGTTACAAACCTGTTTTGAGTCCACAAGGAGACTTGTTGTCTTGCCCCACTATTTACTGGAAGAAATAGTTATTTTAGGAGCTGTGCTTTTGAGTCCATGGAGAGATTTTTGAGCTCTTGTCTGCTTTACGTGATATAGTGTGTGTGGTTATGTGTGTGGTGTCTTTTTTTTGTATGCAATAGTTGTTTAATGTGATTCTTAAATCTAAGCCATCTATCTTAAAATATTTGGGGATAGATCACTGGTGGAAAGCCAAAGAAAACATTCAGGTTGAACATGTGCTTTTATAATACTTGCATGATCCTTGCAATCAAGGAAAAATGTATTCTCATGGGATAAGCCCTCCAAGTCTCCTGTGTTGAGAGCTGGGCTTGTGGTAACAGGGGATAATATGGCTTGGGCATTTTAAGCAACCTTCTCCTTTGGAAGGAGTATCCAAAGGCATGTGAAGGGCTGCCCTTGAAGAGTTGACTTTAATGAGTAACCATGGATCTAGATCTAAGATCACAGTTGCTTCTCACTATATGCAGAAAAAAACTGAGCTCTGACTTCATTATATGAAAAATAACAACACTCTCTGAGGCATTTTGCCAAATACCCATGGAAAAACCTTGCGTGTGTCAACAGCAGTTGAGGCTGCTGAGGGCCCGGCCTAAGAAGTGGCGCTACCTGCCAGTTGCTTACTCAGCTCTGAGTCATGCCTGTGGCCTTCCCTGGCTGTTTCTGTGGTTTGGGCTGCTTTTAAAAATCTTTACTGACCAGCCCAGGACTAACTAATTTAGTCTGAATCTGTAAACACTTGATTGGTAACCTGGAAAGTGCAATATGAAAACCTGCGTGCTTTTAATCCATAAAGAGTAGACATGTTTATAGCCTGATAACAACTGAATATTCTGGCAAAGATCAGAGTTCTCAAATTTCCATATCCAGACGATTTTTCTTTTGCGTCCGGTTGGTTTGAATTTTTGGCTATTGCAAAACCATCGTAGGTCTTAGCTGTTGCAACATAGGAGGAGGAGGAAGGGATTGCTTGGAACTGGCATGCGGCGCTCTTATTTAGGCGGCTCTAACGGTCGCTGTCGGTCCCCGAGCGCTGCGGGAGAAATCATGTTCCCTCCTTCCCGCTGCCTGGCGCGGGGCGCAGGGTGCAACCGTGTCACTTCGTAGCGAGCCAGCTCCTTGCGAGGAGCGTGGACGAGCTCCGATGACATTGCTGCCCGGTGCCAGGAGGGTCCTCGCTGAGGTGAGGAGCGGGTGAATTGTAAAGTGGAGCCCTATGGAGAGGAGGAGGGGTATCCTCAAGACTTTAACCAGGAAACGGACTCGAGGCAAAAATAACCAGAGAGGCAAGCAAATTCTTATTTCAGCCCGCACTCTACGGCGCGCTCTGCTCTGGGGAGGGCTTGCAAGTGGGTTCTAAACCAAAGCACTAATTCTGCTTTTATTTGCTCCTTTTGAGGGGAGGGGGAGCTCTGTGGAGCGCGTGGGCCTTATTCTATGCTCTGCTTTGCCCTGGTGCCAGCCGTGCAGAGCGGGCCGTGAGGGGGCACCGCGTGCGTGTCGCACCTCCGGGAGCGCTCCTGTCCCTGGCATGGCCTGAGTGGAGCCGA